AACATAGCACAGACCATATACACTGACGGATCACTCAACACAGCTACAGGAGCTCGTAGCACTTAAAGCACTGTTGGAGTTCGTGGTATATTTCCTTCTTTATTTGGTATGGTCGAATCCCAATGCCGAAGCAGTAGAGACCTTGTGTGGTCGCTGTTGAGGAGTTGAGTGTTAGCTTCATAGTTGGGTGCTCGTTGTCGGCGTTGCAGAGAACAATTTATAATACTCAAAGGGTCGCGTTTTCGTCCTCGATGTTGTCAATGATCTGACTTCGTGTCCGGTCCGCGATCCGGCAGCTGGTCCCGCTGATAAAAACTGTTCTTTCAGCAAGGCGCTTCCATGGGAAGTGGGGGAAGAGGTGGCGCTCTTGGCGGAGTGTGCAAACGAATGCCGGAATTATTCAATTTCCTCTGCACGTGAGGAGAAGAGTACGATATCCTCACCCTCCTGACCCATGTCAATAGGTGTGATGCCGGCTCCGTCCTTGAGGATCTTCAGGATGTCATTTTTGCATGAAAACATGACAGTCTTGGGGGTAGTTCTAACTTTGAAACGGTTGAGCGCGCAATGTGTTCACCCCTACAGTGGCTCGAAGTGGCGATGGATGCTTTATGGGAGGCTTCAGGCTCTCTGGTACTCCACCGGGTAATGCTCATTACACAGAGGAGTAGACGGAGTAGACCCTCCGTCTACTCCTCGAGTATACTCGTGGAGATAGTGTGGCTGACCCCTTATGGTAATGTGCCTTTGCCTAGAGTAGAGTGATGAGGAAAAGAGAAGAGGTGAAGGTCCGTCCGCGGCGGCTGCTCACGTTGCAAAACAAAAAACAAAAAATGACCCCATCACGGCTCTCACATGGGGTCACAGATGGGCTCCCAGAATGACCCCATCATGGCTCTCACATGGGGGTCACAGATGGGCTCCCAGAATGGACCCCATCGTGGCTCACAGACCGGCTCGTAAGTCGGTGCCGGATGCCGGAAGACCCACATTTCGGCCCATTCGCTAACTCTTGCAGAAATTTGTCAAATTTCCTTTTCACACGTTTTAACTTGTGGTCTAGCGACATTTTTTATATTTTAGGGAATTAGGGTAAAAAGAGATGCGACCCTTGATGTTCACACAGTGTTCTCTGGTTATGTCTGTGCTACCCCGACATATCATTGGCTTCCTGGAGCGCTTTCAACCCTTTCATGCCTTTGTCAACAGTAGAATTATTGTAGATTTATTGGCTTCTATTTTCAAGGAACTGTCTATAAAACGGCTTCTCTTACTGCTTTTCAGTCCCCATTTACACCAGAGAGTAGCAGAAGGTCCGTCCTCTATTGTCCTTCAAGAGAGAACTGGATAAGCACCTCTAAAGGATACCTGGTCAACCAGGCTGTGACTCATACGTCAGGCTGCGAGCAGCCGCGTCTAACAGCCTGGTTGATCAGTCCAGCAACCAGGAGGCCTGGTCGACGACCGGGCCGCGGGGACACTAAGCCCCGGAAGCACCTCAAGGTAGCCTCTGCAATATGGTATCTTCAGGCCACCAAGTTAGACACGTTAAATATCCCCAAAGAAATCCACAGAGAAATAGCAGTTCGGTTATGTAAACTACGTCTAGGTTACAGATGCAACTGGGAGATCCCCGTCCCATCCCAAATCCTTATCCTGACCCATTCCAAGTGCTATATAGTCGTAATGGCTTGGCGCTTTCCCCCCCTGATAGTTCCCTTCCCGACAGAGAGAATGCATCTTCTGCCAAACAATCACAGAAAATCCACTACTTCACTATCTCCTGGAATGTGAAGCAACCAACGACCTTAGAAGAGCTTTAAGAGTCCCCTGAATCTTGCAGTAACCACCCTGAAGCCATCAACACTGCCACTCTTCTGGTAAAAATAAGTGTCCAGCAACTGGCCATCCTCATAAATACTGCCAAGCAGTATCCTTCCCCCACGATAGCAGCCAGATAGTATGGACTGACACATGCATGTTCAACGCAGAGTAAGACTGACACATGCATGTTCAACGCAGAGTAAGACTGACACATGCATGTTCAACGCAGAGTAAGACTGACACATGCATGTTCAACGCAGAGTAAGACTGACACATGCTCAACGCAGAGTAAGACTGACACATGCATGCTCAACGCAGAGTAAGACTGACACATGCTCAACGCAGAGTAAGACTGACACATGCTCAACGCAGAGTAAGACTGACACATGCATGCTCAACGCAGAGTAAGACTGACACATGCATGCTCAACGCAGAGCAAGACTGACACATGCATGCTCAACGCAGAGCAAGACTGACACATGCATGCTCAACGCAGAGTAAGACTGACACATGCACGCTCAACGCAGAGTAAGACTGACGCATGCATGCTCAACGCAGAGTAAGACTGACACATACATGCTCAACGCAGAGTAAGACTGACACATGCATGTTCAACGCAGAGTAAGACTGACACATGCATGCTCAACGCAGAGTAAGACTGACACATGCATGTTCAACGCAGAGTAAGACTGACACATACATGCTCAACGCAGAGTAAGACTGACACATGCATGCTCAACGCAGAGTAAGACTGACACATGCATGTTCAACGCAGAGTAAGACTGACACATGCATGCTCAACGCAGAGTAAGACTGACGCATGCATGCTCAACGCAGAGTAAGACTGACGCATGCACACTTAGCACACACAATACAGTGCACCAGGATGAAAGGCCTCCTGGTGACCGGGGAGACGTGATCACGGATGGGTCAACCACATGAAAAACATGTGTTGGTGTGGAGGAAAACTGAGTCGTGGGATTTATGGATTTATTTAAAATTTATTGATTTATGTTAATTTATATAGTAATTTATTTCTTAGGTTAATATATTTCGATAGCGGACTGTATGATGTTTAAAGTGGATTGTATGATATTATCCCCACAAATCGTTTCCTACACAAGCTGGGGGGTTTAATAATTATATATATAGTCTATCAGTCGAAATTATCGATTGGTAAACATTCACTACAATATTAATACTATATAGATTAGTAAATAAAATGGGGGAAGCCTTATCTGTATGGTAGTTTTGGCGTGAACAACCAGATATGACGCGAAAGATAACGCAAACTCACCTCACCCAAATGCGAGTATATAAGACAAGCTGTTTAGCGTTAGAATAAGTAAAACTCTGTTAAGTGTTTTCAGGTTACAGTTGTGCGTGTGTGTAAACTAAAGTCTTTGAAAATGTAATAAGTTATTACGAAACGCGTTCAAGCGTCGCGTCAGACTAGAAATAAAAATGAATTTTGGAGAATTGATTTTTCAATTACCATCGACAGTAAAAAGAAACATAAGAAATGTTGAGAAAATTCGTGTTAGAATTATTAATCTTACTTTTTTGGTCATATTTAACATTATATATATATATATATATATATATATATATATATATATATATATATATATATATATATATAATATAAATATAATATAATATTCGCGCACATTTGCACCTATATGACGATACAAGTATTCATATATAATATTTTCTTGCAGTTGGGAGCAAATAAATTTAACAATATAGAGTAATTAATTCCGTGTTGCCGGTCCTGGTGCAGCCACGGCCAGGTGAGCAGGTAATGTGTCTTTGATGGAGGTAGTCAGGTGTGGTGGTGGGGAGGGTGGTGGTGGTGGTGGTGCTGGTGGTGGTGGTGGTGGTGGTGGTGGCTGTGGTGGTGGTGGTGGTGGTGGTGGCTGTGGTGGTGGTGGTGGTGGGGGTGGCTGTGGTGGTGGTGGGGGTGGTGGTGGTGGTGGGGGTGGTGGTGGTGGTGGTGGTGGTGGTGGTGGCTGTGGTGGTGGTGGTGGTGGTGGTGGCTGTGGTGGTGGTGGTGGTGGTGGGGGTGGTGGTGGTGGGGAGGGTGCTGGTAGCTGTGGTGGTGGTGGGGGTGGTGATACCTATGGTGGTGGGGGTGGTGGGGAGGGTGCTGGTAGCTGTGGTGGTGGTGGGGAGGGTGCTGGCAGCTGTGGTGGTGGTGGGGAGGGTGGTGGTGGTGGTTGGGAGGATTCTGGTAGCTGTGGTGGTGAGGGGGGGTGATACCTGTGGGGGGTGGGTGGGGAGGGTGCTGGTACCTGTGGTGGTGGTACTTACCTAATAGTGATTACGGGGAAGTGAGCAGTTCCTCCTCAATCATTCTCCCACATTGTCTTAAAGTTGTGGGTGGAGGTGGCTTCCACCACTTCTTTCAGTCCATTCCACTTGTTGACCGCTCGTACTGGGTACGAGTATTTCCTTACATTTCTTAGACTTATTTGCGTTTCCAGTTTGCACCCGTGTCCTCTTGCTCTACATTCTGTTTAAAAAGGCTGTCCTTGCAGTCCACCTTGTCTATTTCCTTTGGTATCTTGTATGTTGTGATCATATACCCTTAACTAGTCTTCATAGCTTAGCCCTCTTAGCTCTGGCACTAATCTTGTTGTAAACTTTTGTAATTTAAAAAAAATTATAGACCGGTATTGCATATTACATTATTGGTCTAAAATAGCGGGTTAAATTATCTTGAAAGAGTCCTTATTTAGGGGTTTGAATGCCGTTCTATTAGTTCTCCAGCTTCTCTTATTCCGCTGATGTTACTCTGTTTGTGTGTGCCATAGATGTTATTATTAGAAAGATCTCCACTCCTAAATCTCTTTCAGATTCCAGTAGTTATTTTTGCTTGTGATGTAGATTCTTCCTGGTCACCTTTTTAGGTTCTTCGTCATCTTACACTTATTGAGATTGTATTTCAGCAGCCATGTGTCTGCCCACTCCTGGAGTGTGTCAAGATCTGCAGCTAATTTTCTACATCTTGCTTTGATTCTACATCACTCAGCAGCTTTACGTCATCTGTAAACAATTTCATGAACTAGTTCAATCCCGCGAGTACACACGCGAATGTTGCCGAGTAGACAAGTACATTAACTCACAGCAGAGTACATGTGCAGAGGCGTAGAGTACATGTGCAGAGGCGTAGATTACATGTGCAGAGGCGTAGAGTACATGTGCAGAGGCGTGGAGTACATGTGCCGAGGCGTGGAGTACATGTGCAGAGGCGTAGAGTACATGTGCAGAGGCGTGGAGTACATGTGCCGAGGCGTGGAGTACATGTGCCGAGGCGTGGAGTACATGTGCCGAGGCGTGGAGTACACGTGCCGAGGCGCGGGGTACACGTGCCGAGGCGTGGAGTACACGTGCCGAGGCGCGGGGTACACGTGCCGAGGCGCGGAGTACACGTGCCGAGGCGCGGAGTACACGTGCCGAGGCGCGGAGTACACGTGCCGAGGCGCGGAGTACACGTGCCGAGGCGCGGAGTACACGTGCCGAGGCGCGGAGTACACGTGCCGAGGCGTGGAGTACATGTGCAGAGGCGTAGAGTACATGTGCCGAGGCGTGGAGTACATGTGCCGAGGCGCGGAGTACACGTGCCGAGGCGCGGAGTACACGTGCCGAGGCGTGGAGTACATGTGCAGAGGCGTAGAGTACATGTGCCGAGGCGTGGAGTACATGTGCCGAGGCGCGGAGTACACGTGCAGAGGCGCAGAGTACATGTGCAGAGGCGCAGAGTACATGTGCCGTCCTGCAGTACAAACAGCTGGCAATGTTCTGTTAACATTTGTTAAAATAAACACTAAAACTTCGATAAATATTAGAGTTGTGTTTTGTTACGTGGCGGCTTAAGTGGCTTTATTTATTGTAAAGTTCTACATCCAGTGCACAGTGGCTTGGCCTGTTGGACCAAGCCCTCACAAGCCAAGCCTGGCCCCGAGCCGGGCTTGGGCAGTAGAACAACACCCGAAACACCATTCAGGTACGATCCAGGTGCCATCCAGAGTGAGAAATGTTAACTTAGCTTCATGTACAGAGTCAGAGCCGCGAGTAGAGCTTCACTGGCCGCCACAGACGGTCTGGGAAGCAAACTGAAGCCCAGAATTCGCAGAGCGTGAGTTGATTTAGTGGGCTAATTAGTCAGTGAGTTAGGCGTTAATGAATGAGTTATATTTTTCTAGTTAAGGGACCGTGAACACCATTACCCTCAATTACATTTCGTACAGAACGACAGTGGACTTGTGTATTTGTCTGAAGTAAGAAGTGCGAATGTGAGCGGCCATGAGATCAATGGAAGGACAGCTGGATATCAAACTGAATTTATTTGCAGCAATATGAGGGGTGTAGTGGCGGCACTGCAGGTCTGGAGAGCAGTGAGAACGAGGCTAAGACCTGGGCTGAGGCAGTGAAGGCGACGCATAGCATAGAGTAGGAATTAACGCCGCTCAAGGGAGTTAATTGTAGCGTTAGTGCGCGCCGAGGTCCGTTTTTGCGACGGCCATAACCTGCAAGAAGACCCGTGAAGACCCGTTCTCGAGAGCCTTGAATCAAGAGCGACTTCCGCCAGCTATACTGGAATGCTGGATGACCTATTTTGTCGGTGCTGGAATCCGGACGGCCTCTTTGGGTGGCTTTAGAAAGCTGGTGCGCGCTCCGGGGGTAATTCTTTGGAAAATGAAGATAAAATTGGCTGGAAGCGAGCATCAGGGGTGTAAAGCTGGCTGCGTCAGGCTATGTAAATGAGCTGGCGAGTCCCCGTCCAGACCTGCCACCCAGAGCACGCGGGAACACACCAAAACTCTCTCACTATTCAATAGAGGTGAGGCGGAGGTGTGGGAGTGTTAGGGAGTGTGGGGAGAGAGTGAGGGAGTGTGGGAGAGAGTGAGGGAGTGTGGGAGAGAGTGAGGGAGTGTGGGAGAGAGTTAGGGTGTGTTTGTGTGAGGAGAGCGAGGGGGGGGGTTTGAGGAGTGCGAGGGAGGGGGGGTGTGAGGAGAGCGAGGGAGGGGGGGTGTGAGGAGAGCGAGGGAGGGGGGGGGGTGTGAGGAGAGCGAGGGAGGGGGGGGGGGTGAGGAGAGCGAGGGAGGGGGGGGTGTGAGGAGAGCGAGGGAGGGGGGGTGTGAGGAGAGCGAGGGAGGGGGGATGTGAGGAGAGCGAGGGAGGTGGGGTGTGAGGAGAGCGAGGGAGGGGGGGTGTGAGGAGAGCGAGGGAGGGGGGTGTGAGAGTGAGGGAGGGGGTAAGGAGAGCGGGGGGGGGGGTAAGGAGAGCGAGGGGGGTGAGGAAAGCGAGGGGGGGTAAGGAGAGCGAGGGGGGAGTGTGTGTGAGGAGAGCAAGGGGGGGAGGGGGGTTCGAGGGGGGGGGGTCAGGGAGATAAGCATGGGCAGGAGATTGGAGGGCTGATTTGAGGAAGGTGTGACCTGGGAAGCAGGTGTGGGCTGGTTAGCATGTGTGGGGGGGGGGGGGTCGAGGGGGGGGGTCGAGGGGGGGGGGTCAGGGAGATAAGCATGGGCAGGAGATTGGAGGGCTGATTTGAGGAAGGTGTGACCTGGGAAGCAGGTGTGGGCTGGTTAGCATGTGTGGGGGGGGGGGGGGGGTAACTACACCTGAATGGGAAATAGGTGTGTCATGCAGGTCGGCTCGCCCTGTGGGTTATCTGCTCATCTTTTGTCATGAATCTGTCAATATATAAGTTGTAATAGTTTTCGCTAACTCTAGATAAATGTTGCAGTATGTAATCCACTGTCTCTTTGTTAGTGAACTGTACCAGGACAGGTCGTTTCTTATTACAGTTATAAGGCCCAATGCGGCGGTGGATATCCACCTCATTCCCTGCCATCTGGGCTCTAATATCTCTCAAGATCCCCTGTAACTCAAAATCTTCAATCTCCATCCTTTCCTGCCTCGATGATGCCTTGGCTAAGAGTAATCCATGAAGTATGATTGACCTCTTCAGTGAGGCTCTGTCATGCTGGTCACCCCCCCCCCCCCTGGACACTATTATACTATTTTGTATGATATGATCACTACATACAAAATAGTAACAGGAATTGATAAAATCGATAGGGAAGGTTTCCTGAGACCTGGAACTTTAAGAACAAGAGGTCATAGATTTAAACTAGCTAAACACAGATGCCGAAGAAATATAAGAAAATTCACTTTCCCAAATAGAGTGGTAGACGGTTGGAACAAGTTAGGTGAGAAGGTGGTGGAGGCCAAGACCGTCAGTAGTATCAATGCGTTATATGACAGAGTGCTGGGAAGACGGGACACCACGTGCGTAGGTCTCATCCTGTAATTACACTTAGGTAATTACACCTCCAGACCTGTGGGTAAGGTTGGTTGCAGCAATGACTAGGTCAATGACTAGATAATTGAAGTTATCGAAAATTAATAAGGTAATTCCAATTCATTACTTGTATGTTTTAATAAACATTGTTTGGCATTCGCACTGGAACATGTGAAAGTTGCAGGTCAATTATCGGGCTCTCGTTTCCCTGACTTACTAACCAGACCATTGGAGACCCTGGCTGTCTGGGGAGGCTACATGTGTTTAGCAGTCTGATTAAAAACTTATAATATATGACATGTCTTGCACCATGTTGAGGGCTGAGGCGTGCAAGGAGGCGTGCGTCCACACTAAGACGTTGGCTCCTCCCTGCAAGAACTTGCACAGTTACTCCAGCCTGCAGGAAGCTGTTCAAGACGTGATACACGAGGATGAAGAGAGGTGCTGACAGCCATTGTAATATTACGTAGAATTGACAAATGCTTTAAGAACGGGGACTCGAGGACTCGGAGTCCTCGGAGAAGTTCCTCCACGCCCTTTTGTTCAGTTCCTTTGCTTCCATACATGCCTTATTAAACCATGGGTTTTTCTTTTGCTTCTCAGATTCTTCCCTTTGGGCCGGGATAAACCCGTTTTCTGCCTCCTGACACTTTTGGGTGACATAGTCCATTATGTCGAGCCTACCTATCTCTGGTAGGCTCCAGTTCCTCCAAGAGTGCTTGGTTTACCGTCTCTTCACTCAGCACAGGAAATTCTCCATGCTCTCTTGTGAAGACCTCCTGGAATCTCTTGTCGAGTTCTTCACACACGAGCGCATGCACAATATTTTCTTCACACGATTTCTGGTCCCTTCCCCAAACAAAAAAATACTTTGCTTTATTTAGCTAAGTCTGTGTTTCATTAAATTTACGCCCCGTTTTTGCTTCTCCCAATTTTTCTCGTAAACTCTCCCAAGTCCTGTGTTCAGCGTTTTCTTCGTCTCCTATTTTTAGTAAGTTTTTCTTGTGCATTCTTCTTTTTCTTTATATTTTATAGATTCCATATTTTTGGATACCAATGTTTTATTTGTTTGTCGAATGTGTGAGATTTGACCCTTTGTTATTTATATAATAATTTTGTATAAATACTATTATTTTTGATTGGAAAGATCACTGATGTAGAGATGTTCACCACGACGCTCTTCACATCACGCTGTAGTCGCTACTGTAATACCTGTACTTTGTGCAGTCCCAGCAACGCCTTGCTCAACAAGTCCCTGTAAGTGGTGGTGTGGGACAGGTCTGTCAACCTGTCCTCCTTCAAAGTACGTCGCTTTTTTTTTCGTATGCGTTACATAAGGCCAAAAATTGTCGTACAAGAACATTGAAGCGACTAGCGAATAGTGACGTAATGTCCCGTTTTCTGTTGTGGGTCCTCTGGCAGGTTAGGAGACTACATTTTACACTGACCGTTTTCCTGACGTTAAGAGGACGGGCTGCATGACCTTGCTGTCGAAACCTGTTAGTCCATTCTCCAGGGCCAGATTCACGAAGAAGTTACGCGAACACTTACGAACCTGGACATCTTTTCTCAATCTTTGGCGGCTTTATTTACAATTATTAAACAGTTAATGAGCTCGGAAGCACCAGGAGGCTGTTTATAACAATAACAACAGTTGATTGGGAGGTTTTCATGCTTGTAAACTGTTTAATAAATGTAACCAGAGCCGTCAAAGATTGAGGAAAGATGTACACGTTCGTAAGTACTTGCGTAAGTGCGTTCGTGAATCTGGCCCCTGGGTTCTTAAAGCTCTTGTCAATCCTACATAATATTAAAATCGCTGTCGAGACGTTGTGTCAACACCTCTCATCATCCTTGTATATCACGTCTAGAACAGCTTCCTGCAGGCTGGAGTAACTGTGCAAGTTCTTGCAGGGAGGAGCCAACGTCTTAGTGTAGACGCACGCCTCCTTGCACGCCTCAGCTCTCAACATGGTGCAAGGCACGTCATATATTGTAAGTATTTAATCACACTGCTAAACACATACAGCCTCCCCAGACAGCCAGGGGTCTCCAATGGTCTCATTAGTAAGTCACGGAAACTAGAGCCCGAGAAATGGATGCAAAAGATGTTCTCGTTAAGTTATAAAATATTTAGTTTTAATATGGTGATCTAATGTGGTTAGAAAATATTTTCATGAGATATGAATCGAGGTAACTTGAATTTTTAGCTTTATGTGTAATGGGTGAAGTGTTCTCCATATGTTCTTTTTTATTTTATTTATATATACAATAGTTCTTACATTCTTGTACAGCCACTAGTACGCGTAGCGTTTCGGGCAAGTCCTTAATCCTATGTTCCCCGGAATACGACCCGCCAAATCGTTTAACAATCAGGTATCCATTCACTGCTGGGTGAACAGAGGCTTCAGTTAAGGATTGGCGCCCAGTCAATCCTCCCCGGCTAGGATACGAACCCAG